GAAATCGAAAGACATAAAAATAATCGAATAATATTCATTATTTGTAAGTTGTTCAAATTATTGGAAAAAACAATATCTATTTTTATTTAATTTCCGTTTCGTATAATCGTCCTGGAAAATTTTAATTTTGTACGAAGATTCGATAATCTTTTAATTATAATCCATAAAATCCTAATTATAATCCATTAAAAAAACCTTCTTAACTAACAAGCACAATTAAAATCTTCTCAACTAAGGAACGCTGTTTTACAAACTTCGGACCATCGCAAACACAGAAAAATTGTCAATCTATTTCCAAGCTGTTTAAAACCGAAGAATCGACTTACTTTTCGTAATAAGACTAGATTTTACATTAGCTGTTGGAATGCCGAAGCACTGCGGGGATCAGGAAAAGCCCGGAACGACAAGAAAATGAACGATCAAGTGGTCGATTAGCGAAACGAGCAGGGGACTTATGAATTTTCCCTGCACACGTTCGCAGAATCCTTGTCCAAGGACTTCTGCCGTGGCTGCGGCTGTGCGCGCGCGAGCTCAGCCGGTCTCTAAATCGAGAACACATTCAGTCGAAAGTTGAAACGTTGCACAACTCGATCCACCGGTCGCAATATCGCAATATCGTCGTGTTACATGGCTCGCGGACTATGCAAACCGTCTAGAAGCGTGCTCCAGTATCATGGAACTCGCGGCTGGGTCGGACGCGTGTCGAAAGTTCGGCTGTGCTCTGGGTTTTCGGTTTGCCTCTGCTCGAAATCCAAATCACGAGCTTCGGGAATTTTGCAAGTCTCGTTGCGGGACTGGAGTTTTCGATCGTGCACCGGGTGCTTGTGAAATGAACCCTCGATGATAACGGTACCGTTTTTCGTGAATCTACGTTGCGCCGCGAATCGCGGCTTCCTCCGATATTGCTACCGTCGTGTTAAAAACGAGCTGTTCGACTTTTAATCCCGATCCTCTAGTCTCATTTGAGCCGTTCATCGGTCGACTCCACGTTCTGAAACTCTTTAACCAGTTAGCTGTGTTCGACGAGTATACTCGTCATGGAGAAACGGCAATATTTTGTGACACGAGTATACTCGTCGTGCGTAAGAAGTAGTGATCATTGGCTATTTAAATTGTAATTTTAAGGAAAACAAAAACATATTCTCAAATTTCAAGATGTTCAGAATAATAATAAGTAAATATTAGTAATAAAATTGTTAATTTTATCATATAAAACCGTCTTTCTGATCCAATATTTTAACAGCGACACTTACATTGTGTTTGACGAGTATACTCGTCACTGCTTGATTCTCGCAACTTTTCTCACCTAACTGGTTAAATGTTATCATCAGCTGATTCGCGCTCTTTAACTTCTTATTTTCTTAGATCTAAAATGAATTTTCTTAATACCGCGCTTCGCTCCAGGAATTAACAAAAATATTCGTCAATTTGGTCGCGCAAAAGTGTTAACGATAATAGTGATTACTCTGAGAATATACTATTTTAAGCATTTTAGGATACGTCGTTAGAGCCGCGCCTATAAAAATAGACTATGAACTTTGGGCATTTATGACAGAAATGAATAATTCGAATACGAAATTGAAAAAAGTTTTTAGAAAGCATTATTTTCTCAACTTACTTTAACTTTTATTTCGTGGTGTTTTGACAAATGA